GTAAGGAGGCACAGGTAAGGAGGCACAGGTAAGGAGGCACAGGTAAGTCTGACCTGGCATTAGTCAAGCAATGCAGTCAAGGGTGTGGGCACAGAGCACACGGCAGAGCACAGGGTACAAAGAAAATGACATGGAGAAAAGGGAACAGGGCATAGGGAAGGACACAAGACCCTGGACACATGGCAGAGGGCACATAGCACAGGACAAAGGACATAGGACACAGAGCAAGGCACAAGGCACAGGGCAGGGTGCAGGACACAGGGCAGAGGACACAGAGCAGAGTTCAGGGCACAGGGAAGAGCATAAGACACAGGGCAGGGCACAGGACACAGGACACAGGGCAGGGCACAGGACACAGGACACAGGGTAGGGCACAGGGCAGGGCACAGGGCGGAGCACATAGGGCAGAGTGCAGGGCACAGGGCGGAGCACATAGGGCAGAGTGCAGGGCACAGGACAGAGCAGAAGACACAGGGCACAGGGTAGGGCACAGGACACAGGACACGGGGAAAGGCACAGGGCACAGAGCATAGGGCTGGGAAAGGCTGGGGATGCAGTAGCTTTGAATCAAAGGATGCAGGGGTCCAAGGATGTAAATTACTCTAACCTGGAGCATTCCCGCCCATGGTCTGAAATGAAAAGAGAATTCCCTGCAAGGCAATCACTTCTCTTTAACCCATACATGGTAGTTTAAGTAAACTTCCCTGAAATAATTAAGAAAGAATAAAAGGTTTTTGAAGGCCAGTTTTTCTTTGAGAGGACTATGCTGCGTGTGTTTTCTAAAAAGCTTGCCCCACAAAGCCTCAAGCCTCACTGTTCCATTTCAGCTAGGTTCCAGCATCTGTTTCCCAGGTAACAGAAACTGTATTCTCGTTGCTCTAACAGCATCTCGCAGAAACCCATCCTTGCACACAGACGTCCGCATCATGCTTCCCAGGGCTCGAGGTTCTGCAGACCTGGGCTTGACCAAACTCCATGTACCTTAAATCCAGTTTCCCGTCACTCTGTCTCTTTTTCTAGAAGCGGGAAGTTTTTTTTCTATGTTCCCCTTTACCGTCATAGTTATTATTCCTATGCTCAAAATCCCTCAGTCAGAAAGCTATCCTTTTTCCTTCTCTCAAAATTTTTGGTTCTAGTGGAAGGTCATGGAGGTCTTGGCAGCAGTATTCTGGTTCTGTCTGGAACCAGCAAGTGTCTGGTGGAGCCACTGCTAGATCCAAATTGAGCCCAAGAGCTAAGGAGACAGCTCTGGAGGAGCACAGCGAAGCAGTAAGCAGGGCTAGGGGCCTCCCTCATGGCCTCCCTGTTTCCTTTTTAAATGCAAAATATTTCTCCAGAGTCAAGAGCCTTGAACCACTTTAGACAGCTTGCACAGGCAACAAAAGAATGGGCCCTTTGTTACGTGGTCTTCACAAATGGTTTTTAAAATAAAATGGACCTTTTTTTCCCCAACAAAATCTCACATGTAGCCCTAAGACACAGGCAGAATGAACAGCTTTGCTGGGAGGGTTGGGAGTTGGTGCCCGGAGGAACCCCTGCTCTGAGAACACAAGGCTTTGCTGGAGGACTGATATCTGCAGGGTCAGACGTGAAGCTACGAAAGACACAGAGTAGCGCTGGTCACAGTGCCCAGCAGAAAGAAACTGAGTATTTGTGGGTCTGGACCCCTGCCCTGGGACCGCAGTGGCAAGCCATGGAACTGGAGGAGCTAGGGGACTTGTGGGGGTTCTTGTTCTGAGAAGCTGAGCTCAGAACTGCAGGTTCCTCGTCCTCTGAGAGGGATGAGGCGGGAAGTCAGGACTGTTCAGCTCAGTTTACTCCTAGAGAGACGGGAGGCCATGCCAATGCACAACCATGCCCTTGGCAGCAGGTCACCCCATGATTATGACTTGTGGGCTTTGGGCATTTTTCCTGGTCTAGGAAGTAGCTCTGTGCCATTAGACTGGCCAGTGTGGACCTTTAGGAAGCCTTGATTGACCAGGATTTAGGCAACTCTCCTTCCCATTGGTTCCTGCTGGCCGATCTTCCCTCCATTCTTGGTATTTGTAGGGATTGAGGACCCTGTGACTTGAGGTCCTGTCTGTTCCTGCTGGCATTTAAAACCACACCTCTCAGTTCTCCAATGTCACCAGCCTCAGACAAGTTCTTCTGACCTTTGCTCTGTGGCCTTTGCTCTTGTGAAGTATTCTGGGGCAGCTAAGTTCTACAGGTAGCCCAGCTGGGCAGGTGTCAAATGGTCACTCCCTATGGCAGGACAGAGCTTAGCAGTGACCCATGATCTTATCAGAGGCTCGGCTGACCCGCCCCTTAGCAACCATCCACCTTGGTGCCTTGTCTCCAAGGGCAGGGACAGTGATCATCCTACACCTACCTGTTCGTTGATCTGACACATGGTGAGGTTTTGGTCATCACAGGAACACGCTACACGGATGTACTTGAGCCAGCTGCCAGCCCCGGCCTGATTGGCATCCACACAGAACTTCTCGCTGCTCAAGTCTTCAGAGACCTGCTGGGGAAGAAGTGCGCTAAGGTCAGAGGTGCCCCGTGTGCTACGTCAGGCTGCACTGGCCTCAGAGGCTCAGGCCGGATGGCAGGTTGGGTGAGAGCCTCAGCCAGTCCTATGCATCAGAGAGACCCTGTCTACCCATCACACCTGGTCCAGGGAGCCACCAGGAGATTGGCGGAGAAGAGGGTGGCTCTTCCTGTTCCTATTTAGCAGCTCACAGTCAGGCCAGGCAATGACGAGTCTCCTGCACTGGCAAAGCGCTCCAGCAAGCTGTCCAGGTGTGAGAAAGCAGAGCCTTCTGCGTCTGACACAAGCTCTCTGCTAAGGACAGTGGGGGTGCTGAGCTACAAAAAGCATTTCTGAAGGTGAAGGTGTTAGCGGGGTGTACAGCTGCACCTGAGTCTGTGTGTGTGGTATCTAAGCGTGCATGTGCGTGTGCCTGTGTAGACGCGCTCCTGTCAGAGAGCACATCACCTGAATGCCAGGAAGACATTTCGTGTCCTTAAAATTGGGAAGTTTCAGTTTGATGCTGGCCAGCCAGCAAACCTCATGCTTCCTCCCCAGGTCCTGAACAACAGGCAGGCCCCACACTGGCTTTGCTTTGTCGTTGCTAATGCCTTCTGAACTCTCTTGTTTGCTGATCTGTGTTCCCCCGCCTCCACCCCCACTCTGACCCCCACCCTGAGGGGTTGCTTGCAAGAAGACCTGGACCACAGGCTGGCAGCTGCAGACGCCATAGAGTTCCACTCATACCTGCTCTGCTCAGAGCCTACTGCGAGCCCTAATTCAAAGCCTTTGAAGCAACTGGGGTGGCTAACTGGGCACATGAAAGGCAGGCTGGTTAAGAGAGGTTGGCGGGCAGGGGTATCCTGGGCAGGTGTTTCCAGCTGGGAAGGGGTGAAGGTGCAGCAGAGCAGCTCTTTATGGTAGATTTTTTTACCACTAGGCACGTAGTTGTCAAGGTCCTTGCGCACCTACGGACGGCATTGGAATTCAGCGCACAGCAATGAAACCAGACGCCCTGCTTCTGTACACCCATTCCCTTGTCCCCAAGGATTCTTACACAAAGTCAGACCCTGAGCACATGGCAGACGCCTTTGTCTCCCAGTTGACACCTGTCAGTGACCCCTGGGTTTCCAACAAAGGACAGCAGCCTGAAGGTACCTAGCAGGGAGGGAGAGTATGGAGGAGGCCCTGCAGATTCCAGAGGCATGACTGCAGCCCTGTACAGTAACACACTGCAATGCCCGATCCCAGGGCCCCGTGTGCTCCCTTGGGTGTCCAGTGGATTCTCCGGAAGCACGAGGCAGCCAGGGCAGAAATGGGGCTAAGCACCGACTCCATCAGGCAGAGATTTGAGTTAAGTGGCCAAGCCCTTCAACCACTTGCCCCCATGTTCCCTCAGCCCAGAATCAGCTAAGAGGCCTCAGCACTCCAGGCTGGCTGTGAATGAGGCCACGAAGCAGCTATATTCTGTGCCTGGGAAGGTGGGGATGGGGAACGCCCAGAGTGCAGAGGCTGGGGTGAGCGGAGTGTACCCTCGCACAGATCCTGGGCCCCCCAAGCCTGGGATTTCGACTTTTCTCTCAAATCTGCAACACTAGGGTCCACACACTGTTGACAGAGCTGGGAGCCCGACTGCACTCCTCTCTTAGTTTAGGGAGCCGGTAAGGGGGTCAGAATGCTTCCTGAGAGACAGGACCTTCAACTCCAGAGACATTAGGATAGAGGTTTGCCCTCTCCTCTCCTCTGGGGCTCGGGGCGTGGGGGAGGTGCCCAGGGAGATCTCCCCATGTGTCTGAACCCTATCAGGGATACCAGGAGTTCACTCAAGGCCCTGCTACTCAGGGGTTAGAAGAAGCCTTCCTTGCTCCTTACATACCCTTGGAGGTCACTGCCTGCCATGTTCCAGTTCAGGGCCAGTCCAACCCAAACACTACTGGGTGACCCCACAGCCTGGAGAGGATGGGAACAGAGTGAATAGCAGCCATATGTTGAGACCACGAGGGCTGACGTGCTGGGGTGGAGGCAGGTCTCCCATTCTCTAAGATGTGGTGGGCTCAGGCCACCAAGCCCACAGAAGGAGCACCTCAGACCCTCCTCCCAACTGATAACTCTGCAGGGAACTGCTGAGAAGGTCAGCCCACAGGTGACAGGGCCTCTACCTGGCAAGGAGGCTCACCCCGCTCCTGAGACATAGGGATTGAAAAAGGCTAGCTGCCGAGAGGCCAAGGGACCCTTTCCTCCTTGCCTGAGGGGTCAGGGACTTCCTGTGGATCCCTGCCACACAGACCTCTAAGCAGATGGTGCCGAATTCCAGGTCCCATTTCTGGCTCCCGGTTCCTCCCTCGGTGTGTATCTTACTCATTTTTCTGTCTCTGTTTTTTTTTCCCTTATGGTGCAGGGCCTGGGGAGCTAGTTAACGGTGCTGTGAGTGAGCATGTCTTCATACAGGGCTCTGTCCCCAGGACTTTGCTGGGGTTTGGTTGTTGATTTCTCAGAGTTGAGGTCTGCTTCCCCAAGAACAATCTTTGCTCATTAGCTCGTAACTACTCCAGGCTGGCTGTGGATGAGGCTGTGTTCATTATTCTGTTAAAGTGCTTGGCAGTTCACTGAGGTCCAGCTAGTCATATGGATAAATATGTGTGCATGCAAGGTGTGTACATGTGTGCACACACTTATGGCTATACATACACAGCTATGCACCCCTGTGTGGGTGTAAGCACGTGCATTTATTTAGATATATGTAAGTGCATGTGTATATACACAAGAATCTTTAGTGTGCACACATGTGCCTGTGTGTGTGCATGTGTGTGCACACTCAGGGGTCATAGTCATAGCTCAGCTGGCACATTTTTGAAAAAGACAAATGCATTCCTATGAGAAAGCGACCTAGGTAGCTGTTGTTGGTCCTAGTCTGTAACCGTCCAGACTTCTGTCCTTCACAAGCTCCTGACCCTCTGGATGACTGATTTCCTGGTGGCCCCTAAAGACTTGAGAGAGTTCCCTTTCCCAGTGTGATCACCTCAGAGACCAGATTCTCTGTCTTCCCAGGGATGGAGGAGTTACTGTCTTAGGCAGTAGAATTAGGTGGGATTCTCTAAAGTCTGGAATCTGCCACCCAGGCTTGGATCCTCACAGGTCCTTGGCATGGCTGCCTCTGAGCTGGGCTTTGTTGGACTCATGGAGATGGAGCCTTAGCGCCACTTCCTAGCTGAGGGGACCGCAAGTGGCCCACTGGGAAGCTGACCAACAATTGCTTGGCTCTGAGGGTTCGTGGGATGCTGAGAGGAAGGCCTGGGTGTTAGAGTATCAAGTCCACAGCCACAGGCAGCTGAGCACATGTCCCTGACTGCAGTGGGAGAAGCAAGTGCCAAGGATCTGAGGCCAGAGGCAACAGTATTGGCCCAGCCTTTCCCATCTGGAGTCTGGCCTCTGCTCACACCTACGCTCTGGCAGGAGCCGTGGAGCTTTGATAGTTCCAAGGATGTGTGAGAGCTCACAGGGGACAAGAGAATGAGGGCACACATATCAGGCTCTGTTCATACATGAGACATGAAGAGTCCTATTCGAGCGTGGTGGGGTTCTCTTGGCTAGTTTTTCTGTGGCTATGAAGCCGAACCCCTGTCCAGATTTGGAGTTTGGGCCCCACCCACTTGAAAGCCTGGCTCTGGAGTTGTTGGGGTTGAGCCTGTGGACTCTCATAATTACCGGTGGAAGTGGCCCTTCTGCCCATTTGCCCCCACTTGGCCTCTCAGCCCCCGTGTTCCTGCCAGCTTCCCCGGCTCATCAATCACCCCCATCAGAAACGCTGAGTTAAGAAATGAAGAGATGGAAAAAAAATCCTCTTACCCTTGACAATTTTTTTTGCACATCATTTGAGGTTTCCTGCACTTTTAGCCTGTGGCTCTCTGCTGGGCCAGCTCTTTCACATTTAATGGGCATGGCCAGGGGCTGGCTCCGTATGGGATGTGCACACAGGCGTGAGTGTAGAGGCATCTGTCGTCAGCTCACCTAATGGATTCCCAGCCTGCAGGAAGGAGGGAGGCCTAGGAGTCACCTTGTTGGCCTGTGCTTCCTTGAAGCTCACGGTATGGTGGGTGTCTGTAGGAGTGTTTCACGTGTCCCGTTAACCCTCCTCCACACCTGCATACACACCTGGGCACACACACTGACATGAGCATATATGCACACACAGATACGTAGAGGCACATGTGTGAGCACACACATACCATGCTTATGATTTACGACATTCACAGGGAGCCCAAACAGAAAGTCCATTCTTGTGACAGAAAGAGGAGGGCAGGCCTTCTGGAGACACCTCCATGTGGCGGACACGGAGCCTGAATGAGCTCATAAATCCTGTCCTGACGCTCATTATGGGCTTGGTGGTGACATGACCAAGTGCTAAGCAGAAACACGGCAGCAGGATGGGGTCTGCCGCTGCCAGCAGACAGGAGCCTCGCTGTGGAGATCGGGAGGTCAGGGGCCCATCTGTTCCAGCCGAGAGGGAGGAAAGCAAGGAATAGGAGGGAGAGAGTTTTCTGAGACTCACTCCTGGAGGAAGTTGTCTGGGACTTTCTATGTCCCTCCGGCCTTGGCCTCCACTGGACAGTTGCCGGGTAGTAGTGTATGATGGAGGCAAGGGACAGAATTGCAGGGTCCTGGACAGACCCCAGAGCATGGCTCAGGGTTTGGGGGCTGCCAAAAGAGAACTGTTGCCTGAACAGGGACTCTACCAACAGGTGCTGGTGACGTCCAGTTCCACACCTGGAGAACTTGGCTCCTGTGTCAGTCACAGGCAGATGCTCTCGGCTTAAAGCCACACCAAGAAATGCATATTGTAAAAAGCCACCGAATCCCATATTTTCCAGCATTTATTTGGGCCCCATACGGGCCTTTGAAGATTTGAAGGAAGCCACACACCAGAAGTTACTCAGACATCCAAATGCCTCGTGAACACTCTGAGGTTCCCGGCAATCTCACACCCAATTCTCAAACTCTGAGACTTCAGACCGTGTGCAAACATCCCAGACACACAGCTGATCTCCTCCATCTCCTCAGCCATCTTGTGAAAC